TTGGTGCGTAAGCAACGAAGATGGTTAGAACTGGGACTGAGCCGCATCTTCTCAATCGCAAACGTCCGATTCGGGTTGTTAAGCTTTCGTACGAATCGATGTTCATGGCCAAGTGCGTACTGACGAGGACACCTACGCCGCCGACGCCTCTACTGTCGCATGTTCCAAGGAACAGTTCTTCTCCAGTCTCAAATACAGCGTGCAGCGGGCGATGCCTTCTCGTCTCGGTCAGTCCGATGACGTCGTACTTGATCTTCCTAGCTTGCATCATCAGGTCTTCTATACAAGCTTCCGATGCAAGCGTCCGTGCGTTGAAAGTACAGATCGCCATCTTAGTCCTTCTCCTTTTGGGCAGCCTGTTTTGGCCCTGAGATTTTAGCAGCCTCTCCCGAGCGGTCCTACTCGACGCTGCCGTATTGGGGGCTCCCTCAAGTTCAGGGGAATGAGGCCCATTTCTATTACTGTTTTTGGCGTGAAGATACCCAACGTGCAGCTTGCCAGGCTCTGACGTGGGGGCTGTTGACTCCGGGGGCTTGACAGGCTATCCCGAAGTGGACAAGGGGCTTTGTTTTTGGAGGCGGCCCCGAATCGCCTCCCAGATACTTCCCAGTGTGACTTGATCGTCACTCGAATGCAAGCTTTTGGCCGAGTCGATGAGCAGGATACCAACTGCACCCACAGAATCTCCACACACGTATGCGTGGATCGCCAGCGAGGAACAGAGGGTATATCGACCCAGCACAGCAGAATCAAGGAGTCCATCCCCTGAATCCACCTGCGTCTCTGGGCAAGTACCGGTGAATTTCTCTCGGCGATTAATTCCCCTATCCGCCACCTGGGGACGCCCTACGTAGCCTCGTCACTAACCGGCTGGGGATCCTTCAGTGAGAGAGAACCACTGTAACCAAAAAAGGAAGAATTCCAGATGCCTGGAGGAGCAGTACTATCGTTTCCATCTTCAAACAGAAAGAGAACGTGGAGTGTTCTAACTCCACGTTCTCTTTCTGGGAGATCAGGTTGAGATGAAACTTGCGGCTGGACGACTCAAAATTGAGAGAATTGGTCCCGATCTCACAGGAGCAATGCCTGGAAGATTTACAACGGATGCCATCTTTACAACTAGACAACTTTATGGAGAAATATCGAAAAAAGCATAGATCCTGCTGCCTGGCTCTCCTTGATCTAGAGAAAGCATTCGATCGTCTAACGAGACACACTCAGGAGTGCCTTCCGAAAACGAAACGTTTGCGAACAAATGATCTATTTGCTAAAGGACATGTACGATGGTTGCACGACAACAATACGCACTCCACACGGCCAAAATGGAGCAATAGATGACACTCTTGAGGAACACCATGGATCAGTTCTGAGGACGTTTCTCTTCCTGCTTACAGTAGGCGTCATCATAAAAGATCTCATGGATAGATCAATGAAAACCATCCTCTGCACTGATGACATCGCTCTGATAACGGAGAGCAAATAATGCTCTAGGACAATCTCTAGAAATGGCAGAAAGTGCTGGTGGAGAACGGGCTCCAGCTGGACGTGAAGAAGACCAAGTTCCTCAGCCCCGAGAAATGCACGGAGGCAATCGCCGACGGTCGCGTGGAGGCCATCGAAATGGTCCAGGACTTCCGATACACGGGGAGGGATCTAGCCGCTGATGGTAGAGTGGACCAGGCCTTAAAAGCCCGAATGAACGCGGCATGTATAAAGTGGAGGGAAACCTCGGGTATCTTCTGCGACCGTCGGTGCTTCAGGACTTCCAAAGGAAAGGTTATCGTACAGTGGTGGTACAGTGGTGAGGCCCACGATGCTCTATGGCATCGAGTATTGGCCCGTAAGCAAAAACCACGAAAGACAGCTTCGCTTCGCTGGAGTGAAAATGTTCAGATGGGCCTGTGGTTGGATGCGGCTGCATCGGATCAGAAACGAAGATGTCGGCCAAGAGGCCCCAGTTCAGCTGAAGATGAGAGAGCAGCGCCTGCGATGGTTCGAGAATGTACTAAGAAGACCTTAGAGCCATTCAACAAGGGAGGCAATGGAGTCATGGAGTCTGAGGGTCAAGGGAAGCGATCACTAGAGGCTTCAAAGAAGAGGTGGCGCGACGTGATCAAAATGGACCTCGCTGAAGCTGAGGTAACGTCAAAAGATGTCGTTAATAGAAAGAAAGACAGCTGATAAGAACAGCGGACTTGCGACGGCGCGGAATTAACGCTAGGGAAAAGAAGAAGAAGAACTGGTTTGGTTGTGTTCATACTCAATCACCAAGCAACTTTTTCTCAGCAAATTCTTTGCACAACAAATATAGGAAGGAAGTCGCCAAAGGTGTGATGAATGTACCTTTATAAAAGGAAAAAACTGCACGTTGTTACTCTGGCAGGTGTTTTGGTTTAAGGAATCGGCGCAGTTGATAGCTGCAATCTTCACTACATCCTGCCATCCGCGAACATCTCTTGCCAGTTCTTTGTAAAGTGGTGCAAATGATCGGCAGTGTCCACACCAATCAGAATAAAACTGCAAGTATCATTAAATGCTGTCTTTCGATTCCTGATAAGTTACGAAAAATGCTGCTCTATTAAAAAATCGGTAGACTTTGTACTCAGACTACAACACATTGTTTTATTCTTTTCAATCCAGTTTGCTATTTTTTATTTGCAACCTGCTTGAAAACCGCAGTCAATCTTTGCTTCTGTTCCAGGGCAGAAAAGACATTCATCTTGTATTTGTTTTGCTGCGATCGAACCTCTTTGTCCCACTAGTTTTCATCAGCGTCAAATGTCAAATTACCTTAGGCTCTCCCGGGAATGAGGACGGAACAAAAATTCGCAACCCTCCTCAAAAGGATACTAGTCACCTGAAAATGAAGAAAACAACGAGACTTCTGTAAAACCATCCGCCTGTACACGCAAGTGTTTGCTGCGATTAAAAAAATTAATAAGCTGGGGCAACTTATCTAAGTAGTCGTTTACCTGTGGACACCAAAACTCACGAAGAGTTACATCACCATAACTGTTGGTAGTGCTCGCAGAGAGGCTGAGAAACATGTTCTCTCAAGTGAGTTAACGGGGTCTCTTTGCAGCTTCTCAGTATCGCGAAAAGCAGTGAGAAAGCTTCTGACGTAGGATTAAGTCAAATTGAGCATGATAAATACGGATATGAGAGTGGTTTGCCAGTCCGTGTACGTTTTTTATGCAAAAGTAGATTGCGTCTTTTTCGCCATGAATGACTTAGCCTGACGTGCTAAGGAAAAGTGCAAGACGAGTAACACCGGAATCATGTTCTGCAATGTCATGTATTTTTGGTGTTATTATGATCTCTTTCATGAAGAGACGATGGTTAGTTGTGGTCTCAGAAGAATTAGTACAAGGAGAATTGGGTAAATGCTCTTTCTTGGGAAGCGATGTTTTCAAACTTACCCTCTGTTGACGCTGGCTACCAGCTAATATGCCATTACGAAAAAAAAAACGAAAATTGACTTGACATGGAATTTGTTCGCCTTCGTTCATTCATGACCGTGCGAGTGCGCAACGCTCCTCTTCCTACTATTGAACAGCAGAGACAAATTTGTACAGATTATATTCTGTGTTGATGTACCAGCAACAAAGTAAGTAGCAACAAAGTTTATCCTCTCGATGAAGGCTCAACTTATGCTTTTTTAGTGGCCCTTTCCGGGCTTAAGCCACACATCTAAAGATTCGACGCAAAATGTATTTAACTAACATCGCTATCCTTTCCATCCACGGTATCGGTTGCTGCGGTACACTATACAGGCCTTACTCAATACGAGTTTGAACGAGAATGTTCTGAGAAAAGCTGATCTGCATTCTTTCTTGGGTAGAACATAGCAGAAAACGACCCATTCGGAATGCAGTTTTCGACGCACCGCTGAATTAAATTGCAAAAAATAGTAGATAGAATCAAGTGCAAGCCTTTCACGATTACAAAATCGTTGCCAAGAATTGAAGAGAAGGAATATGTTTTGGCAACCTGGGATCGTAAGATGGCGTTCAGCAAAATAACTTTCCATCAAGGAGCCTTACAATATGAAATTTTCAAAAGTTTACTTTCACGTGTTATTAGCACACGCTTGAAGGGTCTGTATACCATTGTGAAGTGTACCAAGATACTATTCTCAATACATATTTTGTAAGCGGCCTATTGAGGAAACGCTATACAAAGCATGCTAGAGATAACCTTATTGGGGATTGTGCTGACCTACCCTGTGGTGCTTCATTTTCTACCTAGTACCAGTTCCTCAACACTACATGAGGTTTCCCATGGGTTTCTCTAACTCGTTGTAAGGATTACCTTGAGTTCGACAGTAGCCATGATATTCAGCTCTATTTATCCAGACTATACCTTTACTGGACATAAGCCTGAGGCTTACTTACCTCTACAAGATATGAGGTGCACTTGCCGTTGTGGCAGAATATCGTGTCATTAAATGTGTTGTCATCGAGTTGTATAACTAGATCATCTGGTGAATAAAGTGTTGGGTTGAGACCTTTCGGAACAGTACCGTAATTGGCCACCTCACACGATATCCATTGCAGTAATGAAAGGAAAGTGAGGGGCAACATCTAAAATCAGTATCCAATGAGAATACGTTGACACATTACTTCAAAAGGCTTGACCACTTGGAAAGATTCGCCGCGAAATGCGATAATAGCGACTATCTTTTGTCATGAATTAATATGAATTGGAGAGTCCAAAAATGAGCTAGAAGAAGCGAACCGATTGCTTCACTCACGAGGGCTGCGAAGAGCCGAAAAATGAGGAATTTTGCTATTCACTGAAGGAGTAGAGCCAGTATCTATGAGGTAAATTTAGTAGATGAATGGCTGCAAGAGAAAGAGAGAGGGAGAAAGACAGCAGAACCCTACGATAACATCATGCCGAGTTCATTTTCACATGAATAAAATATTAGGTGTGTGCATTAATTTCCGCCGACGAATTCCAAGGGCCGTTGCACGAACCATGTTAGAGGTTTACCGGTGAAACCTGTCATCTTCTTTAAGGTAGGGTACTGGCTACCTACCTAAGGGCAGACAGATAAGCTTTTCCCGGAATCCCGTTGTTCTCAGACTGATAGGTCATGGAACGTGATAAACCGTTTTCCCGGGGGGCCATTCTCCTGCTGTTTGATTTCAAGAAAACTGGCATTGTAGCCCACCGGATGCTTTTATGGAGGACAAGCTCATCTGAATGAACTTGCCGAGATGGTTTCTCTTAACTCGAGAGTTTGCAACGAAAGCGAAACGTCCATTGCCAAAAAGTAATGCTGTGTGTGCATTCGGTGGTGGGTTCAAAGGGGTGTTGCGTACTATGAGCCGCTGAGCCCGTACGAAACTGTTACTGCTGACCGCTACGAACACCAGTTTGACAGCTTGTAGGATGCTCTCACCTGAAGCGGCCGTTAATCGCAAGAAAGTATCGTGTGGTGCTGTTCCACCACGAACATGCCAGACCCCATGTTGCAAAGAATGTCCTTGAAAAAAAATTGTAGTTGTTGGATGGGATCAGCTTGTTCAGCCCGCATACTCTCCGGATCACCACCTAATCCGGTTCATGCAAGTCAGTTTGGCAGATACACGCTTCCGAAATGCTGAAGAAGTCCGAAAATGGGTGGATAAAGGGATTGCTTCAAAAGATGAGGACTTTTTTAGACCCAGAGTCAACAAGATACCAGAAAGATGGCAAGAAGTTGTAGCTAACGATGGGCAATACATTGGTTAATGTACATTTGGTTTTAATTTTGTAATAAATATGTTTTTGCACGCAAAAAACGGCGGAAATCAATGCACACACCTAATAAGAGTAAGGAAGTGAGTAATGAAGGGAAATGATAAAATAGAAATTTACGTGAGTAAGAAAAAAGCAAGAAATGAGCCTCAGATCAGGCTTTAATTTTTTTAATACTGCAGGCTTCCTGCTCTCTAGCTTTCAGATCACCATTCATTTGGCATCGCTCTTTCGTATCACTTATTGTACATACAGTGAGATTTATTCATTGCCTGATCATAAGATCAGCGCTCATTTGTTCATTGTGGTATTAACATTCACTTGGAGCAGTAGTGAATACAACTGTCTGTTAGGTGTTGAGGAAGATGATGGACTCTCGCCTTGAGCTTACAGCAGTGGCACGTGTTCAGCTCTTCATTGAGAGCTTTCATGGAAAATACTAATAGCCCTTAAAGCCCTATAGGTGATGGAGGCCTCCACTTCGCTTAGAAAGAGGGAACGAGAGGAAAGGGTCGTGTGAGTCGATATGAAGAACTGTTCTCGGAAACCAAAAGCAACGAGTACATTACCATCTGACAAACATTCAAAATGCACAGATCGGCTCCGTATTCTAGAAGAGAAGAAGCTATTATATGATGTCTCGATACCATCCTCATCAACCTCTTCCAGGACTTCAGTAATCTGTTACAAAATGCAAAAGATAGAACGTGTAGGGTCGAGCACTTATACCATAGGGCAGCTTTTCCCCTTTTTCATTTTTTGTGGTTGCCTGTGTTTTTATTCGGGCTAGGATAGGTAACTCTTCCAATGTGTAGTTTTGCATATGCAGATAATCGGAACTTCTCAGCGAGAAAATAATATTATCGTATAAATAAGCAATCGAACGAATAGTATGGTCAAAGTGAATTCCGTTGAAGCCCAATCGTGAATTAGCACACGACAGACCCACTCAGCGGCTGATGTCAGGACGTTGACCAACTGAGTCGTTTTGTTTAGCGGGCGCTACGCGATCACTCTAATCTTGTGCCGACTCGAGACCAGTCCTGTCGTCGAAACTGGACCATCATCAACGCGGATGCATTCAAAAAGGTCTTCCAGTATCTTCGATACTTTCGAATAATATCATCAAGGCAGTTAAATGCAGTCTCTACATGATCATTACCCGTTGCACTTTCATTGTCATACGCAATGCCTCAGTGGAATTGTTCGCAAATCAATCTCTGCAAGAGTTGCAGCTGATGGTTGTATTACCTTTTTCGCTAGCCAAGTAACACCTCCTGCTTTTAGAAAGTATTGACATAACTAACAAAGTGTTTACTTCCAAGAGGATTTCTTTTGAAGTTTGCTGGCATCAATCCGATACCAGTTTTGCTTTTAAATATAATACTTGAGGGCGACTGCTACTTGGAGTATAGCTGAAACCCATTACTGATGGGATAATGGATACTATTTGTCAAAGGCATCACTTGAAATCTCTGTGAAAATGACAAGGGCACCAGACTTCCAATTTTTCATTGTCATTGTACGATTTTACAAAGCTGCAGAGTAAATATAACTTTTCGTGGAAATCATTGTAGTCACTCAGTGAACAACACTATGCTGGACTAACTCTAGGTTGATTACCAAGACTATACTGCCCTTGTTCAGCGACCTCAGTCCAGGTATTTCTTTCCATTTCATTTAACTGAGTGTTCAAGAAGCTATTGGGACAAGGCTTACTCAAATTGCCGAGTTACTGATGGCTGTGCAAATGACCAGTTCGGCTGGCTAAGGGATCTACATAGGTCTTCCGATGATACTGGAGATGTAGCACTCCACGGACTACAGTCGAGTGAGTATTTTCCTCCATACCAGTTCAAAATATTAGCGAAAGTATGGGTAGGCACAGCACCTCCACATGCAACCTCGGATCTCTTGTTGAAGGCATTGGTCATGACAAAAATAGTTTCTGGGATTTCCTGCTAGAATGATACTGTGGCCCTCAATAATATGTATTATTATTAGGTTTATGCATATTTGTTGCGGTTTTTCGTTTCTTCTATTCTTTTGATACAACTCGAATATGGAATTCGATTTAACAGAAATAATCTTCCTGCTTTCCCTCACAAAAATAATATAAAAGTCATCCTTATATTATGCTCTTTATGCTGCCCACATTACGCTATCGAGGAAGGTTGAAAGGTGGCGCAGTCACAAAGTGATCTCAACGAACTTCTTTCGATGGTCCCAAAGCCGAATTAAAAATGAAATCTGCTTCTGTGGTCTCCCTATTCATCAGCAGAAACTCCTATGGATTACCACGTCAATCGTCTGCTTGAATATTGACTGGCGAACAGGACTTACGGAGAAATGGATGGCTCGATGACAGACGTCAAAGCGTGGATCGCCCTAAGAATCGAAACTTCTTCGTCTGTGGAATACGACTGCTTAGCAAATGGGAAGCACAGGGCCGTATATGGGGGATATGTTCCGGAGTAATCATTTAATCATGTCTTTGTTTAATATTCCTATAGTTTTTTCAAGTAAAATTTGCTAAAAAAATCCGCAATAATTATGCATCAACCCAATGAAAAACGGGAAAAAGTCGGGTACGTAATAAGGTCTCCAAAACCGGTTTAGCCGACACAGACACTCATAATAGCCATGTTATGCTGGCCTTGTTATTACTGCGCTAATCATGCGACAAGGAGAATAGTATGCTTGAATGAGAGACTCTCCGACGACCATCTCGTACAACCCCCTTTCTTGCTACTTTTTTGAAGCCTTGTATTTCTTGAGACTCAATAATTTTTGCTACCTTGTACTATTCTGCACCATGGCTTCCACTATTTCACTCAAAACAGATACCTCGAAATTATCGTGTACTGTGCCCTGGTCAGAAAGTAATAGGAGATATCATGTAGTTGGTGATCCGGACCACGCATCGTTAGGACAATAAGAGACCATTACACATATTTTTTTGTAATCATCAAAAGTCTGGAGACATCTAGAGCATTATATATTCAGCTAGTAGAGCTGCACGACTGGAATCGGATAAAAATGCATGGGTGAACTGCTTAGAGCGCAGTGTCAGCGGGATTTTCGCTGAAGAAGGAAAAGAGGGTTGTCAAAGTAGCTTGGTAGCACCTCTATCCATAGCCACCTGTAGCAGTAGAAAAAGTAAAAACATCTTTTGAAACTTCTATATGTGCTAGGGTAGTGAAGCAGCCGCCGGGTGAGACTTACAAATTGGGATGTTCTCTTTGTTCTGTATTCTTTCACAGATTGTTAAGCTTCCGTAGATTCACCATGTACTTGAACACTGCGGGTTTTACATGCTGATGTGCAATGAACTTAATGTCAATTTGATAGTATGCAGCAAATTTGCAGAGTTCATGGTAGGACAGATTTTTTGTTAGGTAGCATTGAGAAGGTGGTTTAACTGAATGCCAGATATTCAAATTAGCCCACAAAGCCGTTTTCGCTCAGTCATCTCTCAAGATTGGCTTTGCCAGCTTTGTTAAACATTCATGCACTGTAGCCAATCCAATGTTGCTGTGCTTTCACTAGTTCGGATATCTACTAGTTTCGTATGTTTCTATTAGGTTGGTAGGTTTAATCGTAAATACTGTACGAGATAATTACGACGAAACCTATTACCAATAGAGCGAGGTTGTATTCCGGAAAGGGATGTGTCTATGTGTTCATACCATTTTCAGAGACTTCATTAGAGACCATCTTTTAGAGTGCAAAAATATACATTCACTCAATTGTCTGTAATCGGCGCCTTCGGATACCAGGCTGCACCCTCGATTCTATCCGTTTCAAAGGTGAGGCCCGCCTCTGAAAACGTCGATTACGTCGAAACGTTAGGTCACTGTAAGAGTTCCACTTGAAATCTCGAACGGCAGAGGAGTTCCAACAAAGCAAACGATAATGCCGGGGTTAAAACAAAAGAGAGGTTGTTGACTTGAGAGTTGTGTTACAGATATGTAAGTTTTCGAGTCGTTCAGAGATATGGTGTAGTCTGCACTACTGAACATTCAGACGCAATCCCACCCACCTACACACACACACACACAATGTGTTGTGATAGATTCAGACCTCTATAGGTTCCAAATGTGGGTGCCGAACTGCTTTCGATTTAGTATTTTGGGTCCCCTTAGAGAAGTTGCCATCTAAGGTTGTTTTGCCAACAATTTTACAGTAAATACGGTATGTCAAGACCAAGATGACACTGAGTCACTTCATGGCCACAGTTTAACAGACTTTTAAATACGTGTGAAAATCGTTTCTCAAGTAGATGATTGTGGAGAATTTGGAACATCTGTCTCAGGCTATAAGAGCTATACCACAGCTGTTCCAGAAGAGTTCGTGATCAGAATGTCCTTTTTGAATGTACATGAGCAAACCTATCCTAGTACTTTTCCGATTTTCAGGGATGAGTGAAGTTGCTCAATTATCGAGTCTACATAGGTGATTGAGACGAATCAAGAATACAATTATTAACCATGTAAAATGAGTTCATGAGAGACGTCACTCCTTGAAGTAGGAACATTTCGGAGATAATCGGAAAGGAATCATAAACTATCGGAAATTCGAGAATATAAACATAGCAGAGAAGCGATACGAAGGGCTGTTATGTTTACAAAAACAGACTTCAGGATACAAATAAGAGGGGTTGTACTGCATTTTAGTACATGTTGGATTTGCCCCACTATTCACAAGTTTTTGAAATAAGTTTTGTCTAATGCTAAATCCGATTCTATCGAGAGAAATATGCCAGTGAGAATGTGAATTGAGGATGAAAGTCGACTGACTTCATCGTAGGCCTAATGCGCTTAGACTGAGAAGGAGACCGGAGTCAATCGGAATCAGCGCTGTGCGCTGTACGCGCAGCAGTGCAAACCCTCTTCAAAAAAGGCGTTTCCGATTCGCGCACGTAAGCGCTTCCCCTTCCATCCATCCCCTTCGCCGACAGGGCGAATGGGCGGCGATCGTTTGGGGAATCATTGCAAATGTCGCGACGATCCTTTTCAGAATGAGTAGAATAGAATTCGAGCATCATAAACGTTGATACCTGCGGATACTAGTAAGAAGATAGCCCGTACGGTAAAACAGTTTACGACCGCGTTTAAACATGCGGACGGTAGGGCAAGTTTATTCGAGAGAGAAGTTCCGAATGAATAACCGCTTCTACAGCGTAGGTTACCCCCATTTTCTTGTCGTAATATTAGGTTGTTTCAATAGACTTGCACACTTCCGTAACCTGAAGTTATTTCGTTTGCGGAATATTGTGAGAACTCTCCATGGGCTTGGATGAACGCGCGATTCACGCGTAACCCCGTCAGCATTCCTCGCGCACGCCGATCTTGACACACTGCGTGGCAGATCACTCACGGGTTTCGGTGTGGCACAACACTACCCTTGGGGACGCATGCATAACGCCCAGGGTGAGCGAGGGGAGAATCACCCGAAGAAAATGTTTGTTTTACCGTGGGTCAGATAAGTGACGCTGGAGCGCAGTAACTTACGCTTTCAGTACCGTCTGGGTTATGTAGAACTAGTATCCGGAGTTGTGTTTTTCGATTAGGTGAACCGAAATTGGGAGAGCGTGGTTTTTGCATCGGGAAAGCACTCTCACGAAGTGGAGCGGAATATACCTTAAGAACGCTCAAAGAAGTATCAGAAGTCAGGACATTCTACGAAATGCACTTGTAGGGTTGTGTAGATCTTGAACCAAACATCCTGTTATCGCGCACTTGAGTACAAAGTAACCTAAGTTAGATGCGCAAATCAAGTATCACCACGCTACTCCCAATGCTTTAAAAGTAAACAGATGAAGAGAACAATAGGATAGTTACGCATTCAAAAAAATAACCTCGAAAAAAAAAAGGCTCGTCGAGTGGGCGGAAAGCGGAGTCAGGCTCGTGCTAGCTTAACTATTACTTGTACTTGTAATTTTGCTCAGTGCACCTAGTGCATCGGCCTAACAGCCAACTTTCCAGCATTAGAGAGTAACATCTTTGGGGCCTGGAACATGACCCCCTCATCCCATATTAGGAAAGCTTTTCTCCTGTACTAGATACGTACCTGGGGACCTCTTCTGTTGTACCAAACACAGAATTTGCTAAATTTACTCCGGAAGTCTCGTACAAAATGTCGTTACACTTCCACGAAATTTCGATTATAAACGGTGCAACGACGCTCAAAAATCTGGTCTCCAAATACACTGAGTACACAGGAAAGGTAGAGTATCCTACAATAAATGAGGATAGCTACGAAAAGTGTAAAGGAACTATATCACTACTACAAAGTGGTATTGAACAAATCAAAGAGGGGAAAGCGAACCACATAAAACTCCATGACGAAATACGAGAAGAGTATAGAAGCTGCAAAAACAAGTCAGACAAAAAGAATTTGATGCTGGAAATCGAAAAGCGATTTAGGGAGCGATTCCCAATTGCACAAGGAATTGGCTAGTGTAGACGAGCTTATCTTCATGCTAACTGCACCACACGATGAAACTAAGTGCATAGGGAATGAAATGAGCTTCAAACTGGGCTTCATTTTCCAAAAAATCCTTTCAACTTTAGGACGTCATTTCTGATAGTCCAGAACAGCGAATCGATGAGGGACAAGATCACATTCTAATCATTCTATTTGAAGAAACCCAAAGTAGCGACAGCAATCATCTTCAAGCTACTTCACGTTCAGCAGTAGTCGAGAGAGCGGAGAATAACGTGAGATCCTTTCGATCCATAAAGTCTCCCAAGCTACACTGCCCAAATTTTATGGCAGTAGAGAGGATTTCTCAGAGTACTGGACGACTTTCAAAACCTTCGCATATAACGATCATGAACGAAGATTTTGCCACTCGAAGAAAGTCTTGGAGGCAGAGTCCAAGCCTCAATAAGAGGAGTATCTGCATGTCTGACTCGAAACTTCGTAGGGAACGGCAGAACCTACCTATTCTGGTGGGCTTAGAACACTGTCACGGGCTAGTAATAGGTCCAATCAGTGCCACGAAAACCCTCACTGGTATCCATATTGCAAAAGAGGTGATCAGACCCGTCTTTTACGAGCGCTCTACAAGCAGAGACCACGAGTCCCACTGTGTCTTGTGGAATGACCTCTATTCAAGAAAACACAGAACAGAAAAAGAACACAGAGCTGTTTTTTAAGTTGGACGATAATTACGGCATGACCATACGCCGTCTCAAGTCCCTGCAAGTCGCACTGCAAAGAAATCCAGAGCAATGCCGCTGGTATAGAGGTATTCTAAACAGATACGAAAGAGAAGATATGATCGAAACCTTTTCTAGCCAAAGCGACGAGTCAGCTGGCGTCTACTATACGCCTCATGCAGGGGTGTGGAAACCCAGAAAAAGGGTTCCTTTGAGAATCAATTTCGACGCCTCCTCAAAAAAGAGAGGAAAGCTACCTCTGATCGACGACATCGAGAAAAGCACGTCGTTCATCAACAAAATTCACGACATGCTTCTGACGTCGCAAACAAGCAAAGTCGTGCTCAAGTGTGATGCCGAAGCCGTCTCGAAGAACATCACAAAGACACCACAAAGATCTTCGTAGATTCTTGTGGCTGAAAGATATCCAAACACCTCCTACAGAAAATAACTTGATCTATTTCCGTTTCCGAAGACCTCCATTCGGGGTCACAGCGTCACCAAGTGTAGTCAATATGGCGCTAATGACATGCTTTTCACCCATTGTCTTCTTCATTCAGAGCTCAAGAAATTCCTCAAAATTTGTACGTGGACAATATCTAGATGCTAATTGAAACAACTAATGAGGTTCTCAAAAAATATCGGTAAGCAAGAACCATGTTTGCAAAAAACGGCGTGAATTTACGCGAATACATCTCCGACTCGGCTGTGACCTTGATATCGAAAGACCAACTCGAACCTGGCTCGAATTTGCATAGGGTCGATTACAATAACGAAACACCATTTGTTTAGCCTAACGACACGGTTTCCAACAGCGAAAACGCTTACAGAAAGGCCATTGTAAGTCTAATCAACTATACGATCCATCAGGCCTGGCAATGCCCCTGCTAAGAAGTTTTTTAATGTTTACAGAAGTCACACAGGTCAATTGGGATGACCAACAACAGCAAGACAGCAAAAACTCTGACCATTCTAGATAGTGTTTAATCACATTCATATATGTAATACAACAGATGTTGTTGAGAAGATGGAATAAAGCCAAATTGAGGAAAAGACCGCTACGCTTCACACATTCGGAAATAAGAAGTCACAGACAGTATCAACAAAGCAGCGCAATATCCGCATCTTATTACCAGACGAATCCTTGAACTTATTACCGAACAAATCCTTGAACCCTATGGCTGCTTTCATAGTCCGCCGGCCGGTGTGCCGGCGGAGGCAGTGCTAGGAGGAGGAGAGAGGCAGACAGATAGGCAAACAGTCCACGCCCCTTCGAGGGAATGAAAACAAACAACCTTCGGAGGGGCGTGGACTGTTTGCCTTACACTGTCTGCCTCCCCCCCCCCCCCCCCCCCCCCCCCCCCCCCCCCCCCNGGCCGACCGGCCGGCGGACTATGAAAGCAGCCTATGGAAGTATAAGCCCTTCCGTTCCTCACAAAATCCCTACCTTTGCCCTAGGACCTTCAGTCTCTTCCGAGTGAGATTATTCACAGCTTCTCGGTAAAATACGGATGCATAGGAATTCTTATAGGAATGGATAATTTTTGGCAATTGATTCTTTCCTCCGATTTCCATACCATTGAACACGAAACTAGGAAAGATAGTTTCTGGAAGAAAATATCAACTCGTGCCATAAACATGGCAGTGAAAGACGAAAACAATCACCATTAAACAAACAAGATTTGGACGAAATGGTGGGAAGATTCTAAAAACGATGATATATGTCCTTATTTCTCAACAACACAACACGCTAAAAGCAAAAGTTCGCTACTACATAAGACCTCCAAAAACCTCCAAATGTTCCAAAGAATTATAGCCATGCTTAGCATGCCTAAAAGCGAACTGGAAAACCTGTTCAAACAATCCTGCTCCTTTCGGAAAGTGTCACAAGGTCGTCAACCTACAGCGAGGTTTTATCTCCGGAACTCCGTATATCACCACTGCAACAAAAGGGTCTCATTTTTCTCACCACGCCGTAATTAGCGGACAAAGATAAGAAATCCGTCTGACATACAATGGAAGCGCAAAGAGCAGTAACCAACCAAGTCCAACGAGTTTCTATTTTGGGGTACAGTCTTGATCCCAGACTTGAGTGGGATACTACTTCGGTTTTGCCTCAAACCGACTTTACTCATAGGAGATATAGGCATATTGAAGGGGCATTTCACATACTAGGACTCGTAGAATGCGATCGTGCCTTCACAGAATCTCTGTGGCTCAAAGATTATAGGCAATCCCTCCAGAAGAAAACCTGATGACACCAATTTCACAGCTACCACACTATCACACGAGATTCTCACTTCCTGTGGACAACACCTTCCTGTCAGCAAACATAAAGGAGCAAGCAATAGACAAACATAAAGAAACCGAAATTTTATTCAAACCTGCTGGTATGAATGTTCGACAATGGACTACCTCGGATACTGAAACCAACAAGATTATCGCATTGAAAGAGAATGCGTCTGCAGAAGAAGCTGCGAAAATTTTCAGTATGCAGTGTGACGTTGAATCCGACACACTCACTTCACGATTACTAATCGCGGAGGAGAAGTCATCAGACCCCACCAAACGGAATGTGTTCAAAGAAGTAGCTTCAGGATTTGAACCGCTACGACTCATCGCACCAGTTGCCGTTGAAGGAAAGATTTTTCAAAGGTCAACGAAAAGAAAACCTCCAGTGAGATGAATTATTACCCTTTCTCGGTCAACACACTTGGAGAAACATCTTCTCATTGACCACTCTTCCGCCCAAAATTCTCCGCTTCATATCAACCGCTTCTAAGATACCCTCCTCCCATCAACATCACGTTTTCACCGATGCAGCACAATCCGCATACTGCGCAGTTGCCTATATACGGACAGTTACAGGATACCAAATCGAATCCAAACGATTGATGGGACGAACACAGCTACCTTCACTGAAAAACACCGCATCAACCTATTGACTTGAACTGAGTGCTATCTCACGGATCAATGTCAATGAAACACATCAAAAGGGAGAAGGGAGTCCAGTGCGACAGAATATACCTCCGGTGTGATTCTTAAGATGCTTCACAATGGATCAAAAGTAATGCCAGGCTTTCGATCTTCATCCTTTTATCAATAATAATGCTCCAGATGCTACTTCACGTCATTTTCCCTCTACGTTGACCCTGCTGATGTTGGTCAATAATAATGCTCCAGATGCTATTTCACGTCATGTCCCCTCTACGTTGACCCTGCTGATGTGTAAAGTAGAGGTTCTTCTATTGGGGATCTTCTTGGCAACAAGTTATGTTGGAGCGGACCTTTCTTTTTTGAGCACAACAATATTGCAAACCGATTAGCCCTAATGAAGAACAAACCCAGATCGGGATGATGATCGAAGATGCTGCAAATTTTTGCAGCTGGAAAAAACTCCTACAAGTTGCAGTGAATGTGATCTTCCCTAGATTCCTTGCCAAACAAAAAATCGCTAAGAAAAGGGAGGAAGTACTCAGAACTCCAGACCTCATTGGGAAAGCGACATTGATACATTTTCGGCAAGCACAGCCAACGAATCCATCATCAGAAGATCAAAAATCCAATTGTGAGATCGAAAGGAAGACCGTCGAATTCGATATTGCCTCTTGACGCGAACAATCCCATCATCCTCCCTCGTCGAAACTGGATATTATCCTTGTACAAACTTCACATACGTCTGGAGATTAAGTACAATGAAATTGCTCAGACGCTCACCATTCTTCGACAACATGTATGGATTCCTCAAGGAAGAGCCGAAGTAAAGAGGGTCATCAACAAGTTGTGCATGTATTGCAAAACGGAGAAAGCATCACCGCTTCAACTACCACTTTTCCCAAGCTGCCCCCATGAAAGAGTGGAACAACCACATTGTCACTTCAGCAAGAAGCCTCTGTGCACACTGTTTCCTTCAGCTGCTTCGAAGAATCATATAAATTAATGGGTACCCACATTGGATTCTTGCAGACAATGTATCGACTTTCACATCAGTTATTGGAAAACGCAAAACGGACTTTACGAATTCTTGACAATATCCGAAGGGTGCGGAGCAGTTATGAACGCCCGACCTTGTCTACAGTGACGGTGACTCGAGTTGTCCTCTTCGACAGGTAGGTTTTTTCAGATCAATCGCACTTTTATTATCCCTGAGAATAAAAGATTAAAACGAATTCGAAAACGAATGAAAGATTAATGTAAGAGATGATGATCACTAGATAAAATGGGAGTCTACGCTAAACATTCTGAATTAGTTACGGAAAAAATGGCATGAGGAGATTTAACGAGTTTGAGAAAGCGATTTTAAGAGAAACGTGAAGAGTCACGCTTATTATCAAAAGAAAGTTTTCAGGAGAATCACATCGTCACAGAACACGACTCAATAAAACCTCGTGGCCACTGGAAACTCGCAAGAATAATCAAGAAATCCGATCATTGCGCCACTCTCAGACTAGCTTATGGTCAAACAATAACACGCCCCGATACCTCATATATCCATTAGAAACACCGGCACTTGAAAAAGACATAGAAAAAGATAGCGCAGAGAGTACATTGCCAAGAAAGGATATTTCAAAACAACAAGTTCCCAGAAAGATATCCCAACGAACACATCCTATGGTAAGTCTCAGAAGAAGTGTCGTCTAACTCACCTACACACTACAGCAAAAAAATATGAAGAGAATCAAGAACTTTTCCATATCAGCCAGCTACTACTGAAGAAACGGAATTCAACTATAAAGTCACATTTTTTGGCGAGTGTTTTCGCCGCTCATTGAATCTATTATCAACACAAATATGTAGAGTATATACACCCCACCCATAGAGCGAGGTTCAGTAACTGTGTCTTCTCCATGTAAGCAAACGAATTCTGTGAATTGGCGACTATTTCTCTACAATTAGATGTTCGAGTTGAAGAGAGCTTTCAACAACCTAGCAAGCGACTATCCTGCAGCAAAAATTGAAAGCCGCTGCTCGCGACATAGTACGAGATTTTTAGAACGAGCGAGAAAGTCCTTCACGTCGAGACCCTTAAATATTCCAATGTACATGATCACTCTTCGCGCCATAATATCACCAGCACCAAGAGCGGCATTGAATGTTAGCTGTGCTCAAGGAAAAGTAAATATCCAATGCCTGGGAGAACCGTTCAGGTTGTGCTTTGACAAGGAATGTCGGAACATATCAAATCAAAATAGTCCACTCAAGGAATAACCTACTCACATCACCTCAAGAGTTACCACAAAAGTTACAGTACGACTGCAACCACTAAATGATCGTGAGGAAGACGAAGGGTTCGCACTCTGTGTTAGACCTAAGTTTTGCAATAGTAACTGTCTACTATCAAAAACATTGCTGGGTAATCCACACTGCCGGGCAGAAGTTGCTATAGGAACAACAGCCATCTCTGTAAAAATAATGGGTGTGATCCTATTATATTGACTTGCCTAGCTATCAAGATCAAGCTAAGCACGAGGCATTTCAGGGGCAACGCTCTAAATTAGCGACGTCTCAGAAATTTTCTGATGTGGAAGGATCAAAGTTTGAGCTGCCATTGCTTTTCAAAGTAGCAAACGAATCGCGTCGCGTGTGCTCTACTGTGCGCAGCAGTGCCAACAGCGCACGCCTGTCAACGTGGATACATGAGGCAGGACCTCGTTGGCAACGAACAAAGTCAGTGCCACTACGAATACAGTCGCGAACTGCTATTCAGCGAATTAAAAAGTAACTTTGCATTGAAATTGTTCACGAAAATGGAACAATAGAAATAGCGAAAATCATCAAAAAAAAACCCGTATGATTGATATGCATGAAAATAACAGAAGCTAACACAATGTCTACAAAGACTCAAGTATACCACGTCTGTAGGTGCCCTCTGATTGGGTCATGCACCGTTCACTGGTGTTGGACCCTACGCACTAACGAGACTGTAGAAGAATTAAGAACAGCGCGGAAGTACATTGACTACTCGGGTTGCTTCATCGGGCGGCAGACTTACGTTCGGCTGTTTCTTACCACTCCCCGCATGTTCGTTTCACAGGATAGCCCACCGTCCAGTATAGAGAAAAGTTTTCGAAATCATGGGAAGTCTCCACTGGGTACCTACGATCCCACTTGACGTCGAATGAGTGTTACTCTGTAACGAGAAGACGTTATCGCTACCAACAAAAGCTTACGTTACCGAAAACGCAGTATAATTCGATTTTACTACAATATTACTGCAGAGACCATCGAATGCAAAGAACAATCAAAGATTTGCAATGTGAGAAGATATGGCCCACGCTCTACCAAACAATTTAGAAGTTCCGGTGGATTTCAGTAGTCGCAGACATGCAAGAAACTACGTTACGGCATGCGTAAGCAGAATATGATGGGAACTCGTTACGGAGCTGCCAATGTTACAACGTTACAGAGCGAGGTACCTCTGGGAACACTCTACGGAAACTCAGGTCGCTCAGAGACGACATTATTAGTGTAACTGATTTTAAAAACTCAATCGAGAGCAGTAAAGGAATCAGCAGCTATGTTACAGAATATCGACTGTGCCCTCAAGGTCGCACAGCTCTCTAAATGTTACACTTGCCCTTAGGCTGCTGATACTCAGATAAATGTACATTAATCGCCGATAGCCTGAATCCCAAAAACGACGATGAGATGCGGAAAGCAAGAGAAGAAGAAGAGAAAATCATAAACGGTGAGTTCATGGAAAAGGTCTAAGGGGTTAATGATGAAGATAGGGGTAGTTGATGACTAGAGTATGAGAAGAGCGCAGAAGCAGCGGAGGTACGTTATTGAGAGAGAGATTCAGCAAAAGTATGCGGAAATCAACGATTTAGGAGATCCAGTAACGGATCATGATTGGGAGCCTTAATGTGAACCTGGAAATTTTCGAGGTGGTGTTATTCATCGTGAGAAGGGAAGGGAAGTGCGCTGCGTTTTTTATGGACGAGTAGGCCAACACTACATATCCAGTCGCTGACACCATCTTCAAAAAAGTTAACGAAAGAAAACACACACTTCAGGCCAGTGGACAATGACAAGTTTGCGTGGAAATAAAGACTCTATTTCATCGACGTCGAAAGCTATGTTGCCTTGCTATCACTGTGAGAAATTGAGCATCATAGCGCCATATGTCATTTTTCAGAAAGAAGCGACGAAATCGGAGGGCGTATCAATGCGGCGTTGGAAGAACGACAAGTGGCCCCATGGGACATCGACAACCTACAAAGGGGGCTGCAGAAACTACTTGATGATTTGGCTTAGCTGCCATTAGAAATAATTTAAGGCGATCTTCCCGTTGGCCCGGGGGGTATCGCGGCTGATTCGCGATTCTTACGAAGAATTTTCACAGTTGCGTAGAAGCGCAAGATCGCTTATCGTAGAGGAAGCGGTTTGCCTTGGAATGGAAGGAAGAAAAGGAGTCTGGAAAAAGGAATGTAGAAACATATACGTAGATATATATATACATTATATGTTGGACGATTGATGGAGATTAGGCTCTCACATGCTCTTAACCTTCGCATTTGCAATAAAGCTGTTATTCGCAACTACGGAGAGCACACACGCACACGGAAGGGGATTCCAGTATTAACTTACTTTATGTTCCAGTTTTGTTCTTATCTTTAAATTTTCAGCCTAGATTGAGTGCTGTCAGGTATTGCAGTTGCAGTTGTAGTTGTGCACCTCCTAATC